TATATATATATATATATAAATATATATATTTTTTGCTTTAAGTAAACTTAGAACAAAAACTACAAGATAGACACACACAAAAAAAAGATTTGTTCAGTACCTCGTTGAAGTGGACGTCCTGCATGCCGACGTCCTCCATCATGGCTGCCTCTTCATCAATGTTTGGAGTCACAACTCGGAAAGCGGAGCAGCCCTGCTTGAACATGGCTGCACGCAACAAGAGATACTAACCAAGATCAGATAAATGTTTCTAGCAAGTTAAAAAAAATAAACGTACGTGGCAACAGAAACACTTCCAGAAGAGAGGAGGGAAGCACCTTTTCTCCGAAGGTATTCGGCCACAAGTGCTGCAACGTGAACGTAGCACATGGCCGCCTGTAAACAAACCACATCAACTCTGATCAGAGCAGCAAACAAAAACAAACAATACAGATTCCGTTAAAACTATATTCCTAATATGTTTAAATAAAGACAATGAGACTCCTTTATTTTTAAAGAAGTGTCGCTTTTCATTTGCGGAGCTTTCTCAACTCAAACTGAATAGTTGCTCCATTGTTGCGAGCTAAACTCCCTCCTGCCCCTCCTCCCTGAGGGTCATTAGGTTTGGTTGAACGTGCGAGTGAAAAATCATAAAACTCCACACTTTTCACTTTAAGAAAACTCCCCAGACACGACGCATAACATCTTTAAAATAAAAAGGTCCAATTCCTTTCATTAAAAAATGTATACCTCAAGCTGCTGGCCATCAGTCAAATAAATAAACCAGACAAGTATCACATTAAACAGAACAATGCCGGATCACAGACCTCTGACAGATCTCCATTCTTCACATGGATTCGGGCCATGCTGTCCAGCCAGGTCTTGCGCAGCTCGGGCGTGCTGGCGTAAGACTTGGCGAGGCTGTACTGCAGGTCCACAAGCATCTCCGGATCTCTCTCATGCTCCTTCATTTGAGCCGTGGCCATCAGAACCGTCCTGATGCGTTTGGTCAGGTCCTTCACATCTGATGGGAAAGCGGTGTGCTGTCGAGGAGGACACGGTTATTTTCAGTGTTTTTAAAAAAATAATAATTATGTGCACGAAGCTCCAAACCTTTATGGTTTTATCACTGTTGGCACAATTGTTGATTATGGACAGAGACTGCTGGAAGCGGGTACTTCCGATGCCGATCACATCAGCTATCAGCTGACTGACAGCAATCACCACCTGAAGACAAACACAGATTTTTACTTACAAAATACAGAACAACATTAACTTAAAATGTCTTTTATTCTTTGCACTCAACAAAACACTAAAACTATTGAAAAAAAAGTGTTTTATTTCCACAAATGAGTTTTAATGTCCAAAATGACATAATGAAATTATAAAAAATAATTTAAATTCTACTTTAATTGGTATGAAAAATACATTTATATAATTTATTGATGAGCAAACATTGGCTGTTTTAGACCCCAACTGAAACTAGAAAATTTGCATTTCCTTGCGAAAATGCAGTGTGAATGCTTATTCCACAAGAACTTGGTGAAAAAATTGCTGAAATTAGCTTAATAAAACATGCTGACATGTAGCTGAAATGGAAGAAAAGTCTAAATTAGCAGAAGACAGCAGAAAGAACACATATTTGCTGGAATAGGTTTAAATAATCAGAAATGAGCACAACAATTAGAAAATTAGCTAAAAAAGCTTAAAAACAGCTGAAAAGAAGGTGAAAAGGCAGAAATAAGCTTGTTACCAGAAGTAATTGGAAAGAGCTGAAATGAGCTAAAAAAATGTAGAATTAGCTAAAAAAAAAAGAGCTGAAATTTGCATACAAACAGCTAAATAGTAGCTGAAATCGCAGAAAAAGTAGAAACCAGCTTAATAAACTGAAATGAGCATAACAAGCTGAAATTAGCATAAAAATGTTATTAGGCTGAAAGTAGCATCAATTACCAAGAAAAACTTGAATTTACATGAAAACAGCTAAAATTTGCAAAAAAAACCAAAAACAAACTAAAGGTATAAGGCAGAAGCCCCCCCTCCCACCCCCTCATGAAAAAACACGTTTGCCCTATTAAGCTGAAAGAAGCAGAAATGAGCATATAAAATGTGGAAATTGTTTGGAAAAAGTTGAAATTAGCAAAAGAAAGAAAGAAAAAAAAAACAACAGCCAAAAAATAACTAGAAAAGCAGAAAGAAGCTGAAATTACAAAAAAGTGGAGAGAGCAAATTTTTTGCTGAATTATGCTGAAAAAAGTTCAAATGAGTTCAAAAAAATGTAGAATTAGCTGCAAAAGCTTAAATTAACATAAAACAGCTAAGTAGTAGCTGAAATAGTAGACAAAGCTTAAACTTGAAGAAATAAGTTAAAAGCAGCAAAACAAGCCAAAATTAGCAGAAATAAGTTAGAAGAAGCACAAAAATGCTGTAATTAGCAGAAAGAACCTAAAAGTAGCACAAAACAGCTGAAAAAACTACTGAAATTAGCTGAAAATTGCTGACAAACGTTTAATTTTTTTAAACAAGAAAGCAAAAGTAACTGAAGCAGCAAAAAATGTGAAAGGAGTAGTAAAAGGTTGTAAACAGATAAGATATGAAGGATGTAAAATGAGCTCAATTCATTTTCTATGAGGGAAAAATGGCAGAAAATGCTAAATATTTCAAAAAGCTAAAGATGCACCAATCCCAAAAGTCATAGCAGGATTGTCCTGAAAGAGCTGAACGTTTTGAGTTTTTGAAAACTATGGGACGAAAATCGTGCTGAAAAACGCATGGAAGAAAAATGGATCACAATAGTGTGAATGCTTCATAAACATTCACAAAATAAACAGAAATACAGTTTTGATGAGGCATAGCAGTGAGTCTCCTATAGCTGATTAGACAATGTTTACAACATTTTTGAGCTGTTAAACCTGCTGGACATGGGCTTTGAATCATAAGTTATCTGACCTGTAAGTGCGTCCTGACAAACGACTTGCGACTTGTGTAGTCGAAGTTGCTCTTCATGAGAAAATACAGCAGGTGAGCCGCGTCGCTGCGAATGGAGCTCAGCTTGGAGTTGCAACACTTCAGGATCTCATAGCAGAAAGCTGCACACATATCTGCACGTCCCTCAAAAAATGTGCATGGGAACTAAAGTAGGGGAAAATGCATTATTCTTGCTTTTCTTGCTGTTTTATGACATGACAAATTAAACAATATTGCAAATAAGGCAAAAAAAACCCACAAAAAAAACCCCATCAGACCTTGTAGATAAAGGTGCGCAGCGATGTGAAAACCTGTTTCAGGGCAGTTTCTGACTGATTGATGCGCAGGAAGCAGAGGTGGACTTCAAATACCTTCTTCATGAGTGGACTATGGCCATGATCAGAGCTAAGCTGTGTCTGTGGGGAACAAAAGACACGTCAGCTCAAAAACCAGGACTCTGACGGAACATAATTCATAATAAATACATGGTAAGTACTGTATTAAATACCTTAAAACTCATGATGAAGATACTGAGAGTGTCCAGGACAGTTAGACACACCTCAGTGGCGATGTTGGCCTCCAGCAGTGACTGATTCAACACATCGGCATCCGAGTGACTGTAGGCTGAAAAGACACAACGAAGAACTGCTGTACTCTTTCATGTACACGTAAAAGTTTTATGCAGTTATCCTTTAAACGTGTCATGACATATCTCTGCGTTAAGGCAAAGCTGTTTGAAAGATGGAACTTGGTTTTTATGATGTTGGAAAAATAGTTTCATCCCAAACAGAAGCCAAAAAAAGACATTTCTGTAATTTAATTAGCTGGTGACAGGTTGGTGAGATTCAGCTTTTGGCACATACTGTGTGTCATGGTCTCAAATAAAAATAAATAAAATAAATTGCAGCATGTGCACAGCATTAGTAAAATGGGAGTAAATAACTATTCGACAGGCAAAGTTACAAAAGAGTCAAAAACCATTTACTTGGCCTTGATGCACCTTCTGTAAAGAAACTGCATTGAATCTTTTCTTACAGTTAAAATGAGCTTTTATCGTTAAAAACAAAAATTCAAGCTTGTCTTGTTGGAATGAAACTCAGTCATAATTTATATTAGGGCTGGGTGATATCTCGGTATATTAATAATATCAAGATAATTTTGTACACAATATAAGATGGGGCTACAGTAGGCCCTTGCTACTTTGCAGTTCGACTTTCGCAGACTCGCTCTTTCGTGGTTTTTCAAAGTAAAATTGAATATGACAAGCAATTGGCTGATTGACGGATGAACCACGCAAGCGGCATGGATTGTTCATTTAAAATAAATTATTTTAAATTATTATAAGGCATAGGCATTATACCATTAGTCAAAGCACGACTAAATGAGTTTTGTACTGTTGTTTGTTTCAGGGAAGGAGGCTGAAGTCAGTCGGAGCTGCAGTTCACACACGCTTACTAACATTGTGAAGCCGGCACAACTGAAGAGGATTACTGTAAATAGTTTATTTTTTAGACATTTATTTTATACAGTTACAGCTGTTTGCTAATAAATGTGCCTTTGTGACAATTGGGACAAAGCTTTGATTCAGAAATATATTTTTGTTGTTACTTTATGGAAAGAAAAAAATATCGAGAGATATATCGTGTATCAAGAGATATGTCATATATCGCGATTTATCTTAAAAATGTATCTTAAAAAACCTTTAAATAAAATTGAGATATTAATTTTGGTCCATATCGCCGAGCCCTAATTTACATGAATGGTTTTAAAAATGATGTAAAGACCAAAGCAGATGAGCTGAGCAGAGGGATGGGAATGTTTAGAAAGCTAAAGTTCATCATAAACAGGCATGCTGGGGTTTTATTTTTTAAACCAAATGGACAAAGCAGCAAACAAATATCCTGGGAACCTGACCCGTTCTTACCAGGCTCTACAGATATTCCAAGTAAACTTGAAATCTTTCTTACACTGAAAACACAAAGAAACGGCATTAAATGTTGCCATTTAACAAAACGACCACCTGGCTTCCCTACATTTATTCTTGGCCCCATTTCTCTTGAAGTTTTCCTAATCGTTTTTAGCTTCACTGACAGAAGATGAAGAAGATGATGATGTAAAGCATGAGGAGTCAGACTACGTGAAGTGAGGATGAGGATGAGGGGGGGGGGGTTCTCTGGGTGGAGTTTGTTTGATGACACTTACTGTAGTTAAAAGTGTATGAGTTATCCAGGCTGCTGAGCTGCTGTAAGCGGGCATGCATCATTCCCGCCCTGTTACGGGACACAGGCAGAGTCTGAGCCTTCCGCTCATGTGCCACGGGTCCTGCCCCATCCTGGCTCCTGATGAGGACACAGGATAAGGTTAGAGTGCCAAAAACTAGCGGAGGCAGAGTTAGCCAGGCAGCTAAAGATGAATGACACAAACTTTTGACACAGCAGAGAGGAATTATTGGCACTGAAATGTGCTGGAAACAGAAAATATGAGGATCTCATTGAAAGCGTGTAACACTTTGAAGGTGGAAAAATGCTTACAGTGTATGCTTGGCATGCAGTATAAAGTGGTTTCAGCAGTGTCGGCAGAAATAAAGTTAAAAACTTTTGACGTGGGATTTTGTGGAAAGGGTATGAACACATTTTATCTTACCTGTTGAAGATATTTCTTAAAATGGCAATAGTTTGGTTAAAAAGTTACATTCTGACCACACTGAAGAACTAATGACTAGCCCGAGCAAAGCCAAGACCAAAGTGGATTGGCGCTGTCAAAATTTTCATAGCAGTATATGTGAATGTAATTATATTGATCAGGGGGTTTCAAGCTTTATATACTAGTGAGGGCAAGATGGGGTAGAGGTAGGGCAGCCATCTTGGGACCAGAAAGTCGTGGGTCGACTCACAGCCATTCCCACATGTCGTGGTGTCTCTGAGCAAGACATCTTTCTGGTAATCCCCAATTGCGCCGCAGGCGCTTACATAGCTGCCCACTGCTCCACCTGGGTGTATCTCATGTGTGATGGGTTAAATGCAGAGAACTAATTTTGTCATTGTATGGGAACATATAAAGATGACAATCTCAGACTTCCCTTCCCCATTCCCAAAAAGTCCAGATCTGATTTCCAGATGGGGTCAAATGTCTGGACATTTGCAACAGGCAAAATCCTATTTTTATATCCAACAAAGTTAAGTCAGGTCCTCTGGACGGTTTGTTTTTGATTAAATGTTTCATCTTTCATCCAAAAGTCTTCATCAGTCCGAGGAGCAACAAACCCAGTCTTATAGCGCCTTCACATAGTGGGTCAACCAGTTTGATGGTGCTCAGATGGTTTCTGGAGTCCACCCTCTCCCCCGCCGACTTGTCTGAGGCAGCCATGACCAAAGTGGTTCAAAACTTTGTTGGATTTTTCTACCTGGATTACTGAGCATGAACTTTGATGTTCTGAACCACTTTGGCCATGGCTGCGTCAGAGGAGTTGGAGGGCGAGAGGGCGGACTCCAGAAACCATCTGAGCACCATCAAACTGGTTGACCCACTATGTGAGTGTACTATTTACAAGACTAAGTTTGTTGTGACTCCGCAGACTGATGAAGTCTTTTGGATGAAAGACAAAACGTTTCAACACAAACAAACCGTCCAGAGGACCTTAGCTTACAATTTACAACCTAAAACTGGTTCTGTTTGCATACTATTGTTTGCCTGTGATCTTCAGCTGCTCTAACCTTTTAAAGCTTAACATGCACTGTAATTTTAAAATAAATTTTAATTTATACTTGATTTTGTATGAATATAGTACATTTACATACAATGAAATCAGTATGAACCTTTATCTACATTTATTGCTAAAATGCTCTCATACAAATATGTGGCGAGGACAAAATAACGTTCACAAGCTAGTATCTATCGTACTTACCGCTTTACACGTTGCACCATCATATAAGTCGCCTTAGTCCAAAAATGTCTAATAAATTGGGACATAAATACTTTGCTTCACCGTATAAGTTGCATCTATTATGCATCACCGCTGACCAACCAGAAACGTGGGCTGGTGTTGTGTCAAAAATCGATTGGCTGCCAAATGGCGGCTGCAGGAGCATGCACGGGAGGACTTTAACAAGAATTTACCAAGATTAATACTTAAAAACAGTTATTTGTTTGCTCGAGATTATAGCAAAGGTGTGTCTCAGTTTAACTTTTCCTTAATAAATGCAGTTTAATGGTAAAATCAGCTGCATTTTGTCTGAGCGGTGCGGCGAAATGCAGCTGATTTGATGTTTGCTCCAGGAGTTCTGGAGCGAGATGAAGGTGGTTTGTGTGGCAAGTCAAGTGTCTCATTAATAGCCACTTCTACCTATTAATGAGACACTTAGTTTGCCAGATTCCTCGAGCCCCCTCTAGCGGCTGAAAATGGTAGTGTTCAATATTTTCCATGCCAGAATGAATGAAATCATCAGATCTCAGCAAAAAATTGGGTTATAGATATGGGGAAAAAACATAAATAAGTCACTTTGCTATATAGGTTGCAGGGCATGTTCATTTATGCAAAAAGTTGCTATTTATACAGCGAAAAGTACGGTATACATTTTTGCAGTCCAAGCACACAAAAGGGCTGGGTCTGATCAGAACTAAACTTTTTATTTCCACACTGAGGTCATCCAAAGAGCCATCTAAAGCAATTAAAATAATAATATTTCATCACCTTTCCACAGAACGCCACTTAAAAAAATCCAAACTATTCTTTTCAAACACAGCAAATTAAAGCTTAAGCCATGCATGGAACATGTGTTGTGATAAGCTGGAGCCGAAACATGTCACAGCACTGCAGTGTCTCTGAGATAAGAAAACGCCGTGCAATGAGTCTGCCAAGTCCACCTTAAGGCTTACCCAGCAGGAGAGGGCAGGAGCCGGGCTTTATTTAGTTAAACTTGCCGGCATTCAAGTGAATAGAGGTAGAAAGAGTGGTGGAGGTTAGAGAGAGTGAACACCCAGACTTCTCTGAGTGGAGGTCCAAAATCACAAATTATAAACAGAGATTAAATTAACTATTTGATCAGTCTGAAGATTTTGCGTACTTCTAATCAAAATGCACAACAGTCATATTTGCAGATTTATTCTATTCTTGATGATAAAACAGGGTCTAAAAACATTTACGAATGTGATAAACAGTATGGAATTTAAACTGCTAAATTATTGTCATCTTATCATAATCAAGAGTCTGTGAGATGGCAGTTATCTATTAGTCACATTAAACATTACCTTGCAATGTATCTTTTTCCCATGTACCTAAACTGATGGAGGCACACCCTAAGGGAGGCAGAGAAAAATCCAGATATTAATTTTAAAAGTGTCTTTTCTTGCACCAAAATGCTCGACAGCAATGTTCGGCTTCTTACTCTATTAAAGTGAAAAAGTCCATCAGCTCAGCAGATGAAGATTTGTTCCAATACGTGAACAGAGCATCTGGAAAAGACAGAAACTGACACTTTAAAGACATTTTGTTTGGTGTGGTATAATATAAAAGGAAGTTCTGTGTTTGAGGTGAGATTTTACCCTCGGACATGCTTTTAAGTACGTGCAAAAGACCCATGAGGAGGCTCTTAACCTCTGCCTGATCCAGTTTGTCACAGCGCAGAAGGGAGCTTCCCAAGGCCGAGACCGGCTGGTTCTGGGGGGACGAAACGTGCTCGTTAGGCAGAAACAGATAAATATTTCATCCTGCTTGTGGATAGAAAGCTAGCTCCTTCCAGTTTATCAAAGTAAACCAACCCAGACAGCAAAGCAAAGTTAATTATATGATATTTAGGCTTGAGTTTTGGCAGATGTTACTTTAACTAAACCACCTTTGGTTCAGTCACGACCAACAGATTTTAGTTAGACTTCAGGTGTGTATTTTTAACTCAGCTTGATCTCAGAATTAGCATATTTAGCCTCGTTTAGACTCACTCTGTCTATAAAGAATGACCCAGACTTGTTTTAATATTTGCAGCCAAACTTGAGCTTGTGTGTTTAAAGGAATTTTGACACGTCTACCAACCTTTTGTTGAGTTATTTCTCTTGGCCTGCTAGATCCAAGTCATTATGGGGGCCTAACACATTTAGTTGCCTGGGAAAGTATTGGTTTACCACAGGAGTCCTTTTGCAGTCATTAATCTAATTCTGAAGTTTATGACTGACACACTATATTTTCTGACTCGTATAGTGGTTCTGACTTGATTTATTTAGAGGAGCTAAAGGCCTGGGATCATGCAGTCATGATGCAGTGATAAATACACAAATGCAGGTAAATATGACTTGACACAACAAAGACCACTTCTTCCAGCTGAGAAGTGCAGTAAGAATACAGAGCTGAATCACTGGAGCAGCAGCTCCACCACAGCAAAGGGCTGGAAATATACCAAGCACAGAGTTTAGTCTAGACCATGAAACTGTATGGGGATGACTTCATGGAAAGAATTAAACGATATGGAAACTTTATTTAAAAAAGCTTTTTTAGAGAGTAGAGAACTTGTAGGCTGAAACTAATGTTGCTGAAAATGTGACTAATGCTTTAGGGGAGTTGTTTTATTTTCTATATTAATGTTTATTTGTAATGTCTTGGTGTCTTCTAGTCCACAGATGTTGGGACAGGTTTATGTCTGAGGCAGTCATACATCAACCACACTAAAAGAAACACCAGAATAAAGCTGAAAGCACAAAAGTCCAGATATTTGTATCTTTAAGTATTTAGTTTGAAGCTGTTTCTGAGAAATGTCATCACACACAAAGGAGTACCGGTAGTTATGAACAATTATTATCCTACCTGTTGTAGATAGATTTGTTTGTTTAGTTTACTTTAGTTTGTGTAATTCTGACCAGACCAATGAGCTAATTGATGCAGGCTGGGGCCAAAATCGGTCTCACAACTTAAAATAACGCCAGTCCTAAAAATCTCACAGCAGTTCATGCAAGGTTTATTTATTTATTATTTATTTTTGCAAACTTGTATACCACTTTCACTTCATGACTACATAATAACATTATAATCCAGACAAAAACTATTGTACCTTGTTTATCGCGGGGGATCCGCACCCCGAATATGGCTTGTCGTTTGTAAAGTTACACAGAAAAAATTAACAGAAATATATATTTTTTTTCAAAGTCATATTTTCACTATGTTATTCACACATTTATAAATGTCATAGTTCCAAACTAAATATTTAATTTACATGCTAAATATTTAGTTTACAAACTAAATACTTAACTTGCAAGTTAATTATTTAGTTAGTTATTCAGGTCTCTCTTGTAAATGAGTCCTCGAGGCTCAATGGGATTTACCTGTCTAAATAAAGGTTGAATGAATGAATTAAATTTCCAAGCTAAATATTTATTTTCAAAACTAAACATTTAATTTCCAAACTAAATATTTATTGTCCAAGCTAAATATTTAATTTCCACACTAAACATTTAATTTCTAAGCTAAACATTTAACTCGCAAGTTAAATATTTAGGTCCGAGCTAAAGATCTAGTTAGCAAATTAATTTTGAAAATTAAATGTTTAGCTTGGAAAATAAATATTTAGGTCTGAGCTATTAGCAAATTAAATATTTAGTTTAAGAATTAAATGTTTAGGTTAGAAATTAAATGTTTAGTTTGGAAATTCAATGTTTAGCTTGGAAATTAAATATTTAATTTATACCTAAATGTTTAGTTTAATAACTAAATACTTGACTTGTAAGTTTAGTATTTAGTTTGTAAACTAAATATTTAGCTTGTAAATAAAATATTTAGTTTGGAACTATGACATTTATAAATGTACAGTATGAATAACGTGGAGAAAATATAACTGAAAATAAATAAATATTTTTTTTCTTATGAAACCAAAATATTGCTGTTAAGTTTTGACTGTGTAACTTTACTAATGGCACCCCATACCCGAAGCCCCGCGATAAGGGAAAAAACGCAAAGTAGAGATAGTAGTACAAGTAGTAAGTAGTAGTTTATTTTAGTATATATATATATATATATATATATATATATGAATATAAAGGAGTTTTAAACCCTTCCCACACCTTTGTAATATTCTAAACAATGTTTCTAAACTCTAAACGATCTAAAAGAGCACAGCATGTCATGATGTCAGCTCCCTGCCTCCAGCTGCTCTCTGCCATCTGCCAGCACTCTTGGCCACGCCCACTTTTCCACTGCAGAATTGAGATATGACACGCTGCAGGAGGAAGCTTCTCCTTGAGCTGTGGGCTGCACACAGGTGCATCAGGTGCTGAATAATTTTAAATAAAAATTCCATGCCGATTGTGTGGCTCATTCATCAATCAGCCAATTGTGTGTCTTGTCCAATATTTTGAAAAACCACGATAGAGCGAGTCCGCGACAAACGAACCGTGAAGTAGTGATGGACTACTGTACTTCCTCTGGAAGGACCCCAGGCTGCACTGAAAGTGCTGCCACTCCTAGTTGCATTTGCAAATAACTATGAAAAACTGGATGTTGTGAAATGTTTATAAAAAAAGTGTTCACATGAAAACGCTATAATGTTTTCCAGATTTCATTTTGAGCTCGGCCACACTTGGACTAGCTGTTAGCTCATCATTTTGGTCAAAATTAAACTTTTATTTTCCATCATGAGGCTGTTTGCTGATGTACCTACAACAGGTAAGATATTAATTGTTCATAACCACTGAACCACTTCCACCGAACCCCACTTTAGAAGACATGAACTGATCTTTTAGGCATGAGATGAAACTCTGTGAGGTGATGTATAGAAGATCAAACAGGTAAGTCTGAAAAGTTTCAGGTAAAGAAAAAACTAAGAGTTAAGGGAACCAGGACACTCGTACACACGGCAGCACTCCCAGGTGTGAAGGAGGCGTTTTGTACTTGAAGTGAAATGCTGGACAGCAGGACACTCTCTGGGACAGCGAATAGCGAGAAGTCCACGGTGAGACTCTTTGAACACAAGGAGCGCGCTCTGTCTTCAGTCTCCATAAAGAGCGAGCCAATAAAGAATTTTTATGAACAAATTTCTTCATCTGCCATGGTTTCCTGACAGCAAGGGCAGGAATTTAAAGGTACGAGTTAAGAAAGACAACCTTTCTGTGACCGTCCTGTCATACTGGGGATCAACTGTGAAATAAATGTTGCCTGTCGCAGAGTTTAAATTAGATTTCCAGTTAATTCTGCATGAAATTCCTTTACAGAATACCTTGTCCAGAGAATTGCCTTTATCATTGTTCCTCTCAGGCAGGCTGTTCCCAGAATCGGTGCTGATCAGCGAGCCACGAGAGTCAGTGTGGCGCACAGAGTTAATGTTTGGGGTGGATGATGCATGAGGAGAAGCTGTGGAAAAGAATAGACAATTATCTGTTTTGTACCAACCCTTAATTTAAAGATCCACACTCTAAATGTTCCCTCATCCTTTGATCACTTACTGGTGCCTGAGATGGCTCCAAAAACATCTTTGTGCAAGCTGGTGTCCAGGAATGTGCTGGACCTTGGAGGTGTCATTAACGTGTTGCTCAGAAGTGGATCTTCTCTTCCATTCTGATAAAAGCACAACAGCTCCATAAAAACTTTATGTTCTCATGTAAACTAAGCAGTCTGCGCTGCATTTAAAATCTAGAAAATATGCTTCAAATATAACATTTCCCCATTTTTTAGAATTATAATTGCATTTTGATGCAATCAGAAATGAAAAAAACAACAACTTTTTTTAAAAGTTTCAATTTCTGCTATAAGCTTTTGAACAAGCACACAAACAAACAAACAAGAGAAAAAATATTAAAACAGTTGCCCATTTTGTTTTTAATACTAAAAACATTTTAGTGCCATCAGAATGATAAAGCAACACTTTAAGTGTACACCAGGTTTGAATTTATTAAACCCTGAAGAATTTCTACTTTTAACAAAAATACATGTAAAACTAATTCTTCACATTTAATTGGATGGTTTAAGCGTTTAAAGCTTTTTTGGGCTAAACTAAATTGATGCATATCTCTGTGTGTAACAGAATTCGCAGAGCTATTATTTTCTTTATTATTTCAATCATTGTATGCTACTCCATCCAGAGGAGTGAGATACATTGTGCTACTTTGCTGTTTTAATTTCTTAAATTATTAATTATTGTTTTCCCCATCTAAAATGAAGATCATAGCATTTATGCTATAACCTGTGAAGGGATGTGGTGCCATCTTTGGAGCAAACCATTTATGGTTTCACTGCTTCCTTCAGCAGTGCATTCACATTTTCTCTTTGATTTATTTGTTGCATTCTGAGCACATTATTTAATTACCTGGGTCATATTTTAATATATTTAATATATATATCATCCACAGACAGGGCAGTTTTTGCATGTGTGCAAACCATAATGCAACTTAAATCATAAATGTTTCCACATCAGCTTTTTTCCTGCATTTTTCCCTCTTTTTGAGTGTTACCGCTCTTTTATTTCTCTTTACACTACATATTAAATGTCTAATTATGGTTAAATGTTTTCCTTAGTTTGTGTTCAGACTGAAATTCCTTTAGCTCTGAAAAGCAGCCAGTAGATGGCTCTCTTACGTTATTGGAGTGGTTGATGGGAAATGGGGAAACTTCCTTCACGTTCAGTCTGTTGACGTTCTCCTGAAGCAGACCAAACAAGGGAAAGTACAAGGTGGACAGCCTGGCCTGCTGGCTCTAAAACAAACACGCACACATAAAAACATTTAATCGGTTATCTGGGTGATCCTGTACACACACTGAAAATGGAAAAGAAACCACGAACCTTGGAAGTGTAGCGGTCGTCAAACGTGTGTTTGATCATGAGGTTCTTCAGCACGTGGATGGCTATCTGACGAATCTCTCTGAACTCCTGCAAAGCTGCGCTGACCTCCCTGAGCAGCAGCCCGGCCAGAAAATGGTTTCTGCAGAAGTCCTCTGTCAATGAGTACTCCATCTGGAGGTCTGAGGGCCAGAACGAGGTTGATGAGGATGTAATTAACAAATGGCGACAACAGGAAAAAAACAACGGAAGGAAACAAAGTTGTGAACAATGAGAGTGAACGGCTGATTCAATAGAAATTGAAAGATTGAATGAAGGTGTGGACTGTGCAGGGACTAATGATACGATCAAAATCTGGTAAATAGATAACAAACTGTTCTAGAAAAGACGGCAGTTTGATGTATTTGTACTATTTGACTTATGTGTCGTACATTCACAACATGAAGGTAAAATGTCAGCTGGTGAATAAACAGTTCACAACATTTACGATGAGTGAATCACACAAATCAGTTACTCTCTGTTCCCCACAAATACACTTTACTTCTACTTTAATGTTTTCTAAAACCTGTATTTTCAACATGCAAGCATAAAAACTTTTTTTCTGATAATAGGTCCTCTAATAACCAGTCATGAACTGTGACATGACTCAGTGCGTTTTCTGTAAATATTACAGCTAACTGAAGCCAATAAAAGAAAAGGAAATGACATATTTTGTTTAAAAAAAAGAAATAAAAGCTAAATATGAAAATCTTTTTGAAGACACATCTAAATGTATGGGTTCAATACAAATGTACACGGCATTGTTCAAAGTCTTGAGTTTTCATTTTCTTTTGGAACATTTGAATGTGGTATTGATCAAATGTTCTTCATGTCTTCTGAATATTATATTGGACATTAACAGATTATATTTATTTATTTATTTTTTTTAACTAATTTTTAGAGTAATGTTTTATTATTTTGATATTTGAATAAATCAGACATAAACAGGCTTAAAAACTCAAGGAATTAAATAGTTTGGCATGAAAACACAGAAAACAAGTTAGGAAATAACCAATTTTATTTGAATATTTAGCTAGTAAATAGCTAAAATACTAGCTTGCTTGCTAATATGCTATCAAGTAATTTTGTTTCTAGCAGTTTTCACAAAAAAAAAAAAAAAGAAAGTGAAGTGCTATGTATTGTCTATTGTATCTGCATTTGACCTGCCACACGTGAGATACACCCAGGTGGAGCAGCGTGAGGGAGTAGGTGTCTTGCTCAAGGACACCACATTATATAGCGGGGAATCAAACCTGTGACATTCTGGTCCCAAGTCAGCTGCCTTACCTCTACGCCACAGTTTTCCCTCATTTCTTTAGTTGATTCCATAAAAATCACCAACGAAACCACAGTTTGACCCATAAGAAGTTATTTTACCTGTCAGACATTAGCTGGATTTCTTTCTTATTTATATTTCTTTTTATTTTAAGGCAATGACTCCCAGCTATCTGTTGTAAATATGACACTTTTTCCTTTTGTCCTCCACTTATTTACTCATTTTTTAAGCTCACGCTGCGCAATATGCTGTCACCAACAGGTACAAAGAATAAACAGAAAATACGTGAAAAACACTTCTGAAGCCTAAAAAAGAAAAATGGAAATATCTTCAGAAAGCTTTAAAAACGATGACGACTAGGCCTGTCGCGATTGTAGTGGACTAAGCCTACGTCGAAACCCAGTCTAAGGTCAAAACTCTTGACCTTTAGAACCTTGTGGGACAGAAGCTGTCATTTCATGTATTTGACTCCATAAATACAGGTTCACCCATCCTGAGACTTTCTTTCTTGAAGATTCAAGTGAAAAGAACACTCTCTTTTTATTATCATTACTATCTTACAAATGTTGATAATCAAAGTGTCTTAGTTCAAACCATTTTAGATGTTGCAGTGAACTAATCAATTTTATTAACTGAGTAATGATTTTATTCTCATGTTAAAAGCTGTGCAGAGTTTATGCATTTTTCTGATTTCTGCTTTTGAATGAGCAAGTGTGTGCGTTTACAAGGTTACAGTCAAACGAAAAACAAGTTGTTATGTTAAAACTGTCATGTTTTAGAATCCTCTCAGACGTAAATAGAGATGTTTTGCACCTGTTTCTTAAGGCACGCCAAAACAGAACCCTCTCGGTCTGTGAGAACATTTCTGAGCTGTCTCATAACAATTCTCGCTGTCTCTAACCTCTTACGTCACAAAAACACACCCCTTCTGGTCGTTTCTGACCAATGAAAAATCCCAAAAAGTGAACCGGGAAAGAGTCTTTAAAATGTCAGTACTTCCTGGTCTACACAGACTCTACAGGGACTCACAGGTATGCAGACAGACTCACAGGGACACGGAGAGACACACAGACTCACAGAGTTTTCGGAGAGTTCGAGAGTTCAGAGTTCTAAAGTTCTGATGGAGTGCTGTTGGAGTTCCTGACATGACAACGAAGCTCTTCCGAGTTCCATGGGATTATAACATTTTCCACTGAGGTGAATGTGTGTCGAACAGAGCCTCGCCACTACTTCTGACGGGCAACAGCCATTCTAAGGAGACGCTGGACCGGTAGCGTTAACGGAACACCATATCTGCTGATTATCATCAGAGAGGTAATGGGTCAAGTTTCCTACCAAGCGTACCGAGGCGAGCTGGGCTTCTGATGGAGAGTGTCGGTTCTGGAAAACACTTAATTTCCCTCACACACCATCCTTTACTCCCCCTAAACTTCTTTCCATCTTTAAACTCTCCTATGAAGTAGAAATTCTCCCAGATATTTAGAAATGTCTGTGTAAAGTGCTTATTCACATCCGTGTGGGTAAAAGTCATAGTTGTACAGTTTTATACATGTCTGTGGTGCAGCAACGGAAAAATCATGGCCGTATGATTTTTCCTGATTGATTGCTTTGTTGTTATTTTCATAATTTGCCAAATTAATGTACATGTTTGATGTTAAATTTGATTCTGTAAATAAATGACCGCATTCATTTTGATGGGTCAAATCTAAATGACGTCTCACGTTTGCATTTCCTTAAATTCAGTGCACTTTTTATTCAGTCCAGAAAAATGAGGAACTCGCGTTAAATGATGAATATATCCCAGCATCTGTTCATCTACAATTGGTGGCCCGTCACGTGCTCATAAATGGACTGTAACTAGTGTGCTAATTGATTTTCATGTTGGCATGTGTTATAAAATAACAGTTGAACCGTGCGTCTTTACGCAGCCGGAGCTGCGCGCTTGGAGCTGCACCGCCTGAAGCGAAATGCTGCATGTTTTTAAGCGTGTTGGTCTGTGATGCTCAGAAAGCTCACAGAGAAGCTGAAATTGAGTCACAAGTCTTTATAAAGCTGAATTGTACGTCTGTATGGGTAACTTAAGCTGGCTTTGAGCTGTGGAAACGCTTTATTCTGTTTAAACTGTGTTCCGGACGCTTCTGGTCCGCTTCGGTTCTGTGGTTCCGACTCGGTTCTGGAGCTTCGAACGAGTTGTTTTAAATAGCTAGAAAGACGTTTTGTCACGGAGCGCCGTTCTCTGTGCAGCTCAGGGGGTTGTTTCGTTACAATTTTTAACAGAAAAAGTGCATTTTGATGGTTTAAAAGACGAAAAAGTGACGAACTATTTTACGCTAATCTAACTTGCTAGCTGGGGAATACGCTTCGTGGTTGGTTGTTTGCTGCTTTGGAAAGCTCTGATTTGCTGAGAAAGGTTGACTGACGTCACCTCCCCTCACCCCTACGCTGCGTCATTGGTTGAGAAAGACCGTGTGTAACGTTCTGATTGGATGAGGGAAGTGTCAATCACGTCGCCCGGAAATGAAGACTCGTTTTCATAGGGAATAAAATCTGCTTTTTAACGCTGGAAAGCGCATTAAAGCTGTGTTCTGAAACGCTGTTTACATTCATTCGAAGCATATTCGCTGAAAGTTTGCCACGTTTGTGTAAAAAATCCGTTCAGAAGTGTTGGTTTTCACCGAAGCAAGCCGATGCTAATTTTAGCTAACAAGCTAACGACCGGACGCCACAGGAAGTTATAGCACCCCTAGTGGACGACACAAACAGTGTCTGAGTTAAAATAGTTGAGGATCTGCTGACATCTTGTGGAGAAGACGTGGGATCACAGGTTTTCACTTCGTTTTTAGGTGAAGAGTGACATTAAACGTTTTTATTTTCCTGAAAGGCAATTTTTGGGTTAAAAAACTTCCTCAAGGCTGAATAAACACTGTTATCTTGCGTTTTAAAAGTTATGAAGGTATTTATGCTGAGAGCTTTTGCCAAACAAATTTTTATTCACTGATAAATCCTTGAAAAATAGGTACATAATAAGAATTTAGAAACTTTTAAATAAGATACAGTTACAAATATTCACAGAGTTGAATAGTTTACTCATTTTGCTAGAAGATAACGCACGTTTAATTGATAAATCACTAAATAAGAGTAAAGCTTATCAGGAAAAAGAGATTTTCTGATTTTATTTTACCACCTAAACATTTACATCTACTATTTAATTTCTAAATAGCAGATAATGGCGGACGGAGAGGGAAACACTGACCCCTTGCAATCCGAGGATGTGGTCCAGACAGCCTTACACATTTTGACAAATTCAATTCTTGGCAAAACTTTGGAGGACTTGCAAGTCCTTGATGACGATCAAAGACATGAGGAGCTGCAGAGTTTATCAAGAGCAGCTACAGTGAAGGAGGACGCAAAATCAAGCCGCATACGGTTAGCAAAAATCTCTCTGCTTCTAAAGGCGGAATTAGACCGTTTGGTAGTGGAAAAGGGCGTGCTATTCAACGGATATAAGTCTGAAAAAGAGAGGTGTGACGAATTGATAAGTGAATCTGAGGCGCTGCAGCAACTCCTTGAGGCTGCTGAAGACCTCTCAAAGAAAGAGCTGTCAGAACAGGCTCAATCATATGAGGAGAAGTGTGCCGAGCTGATAAGTGAATCTGAGTTGCTGAAACAAAAGATTCAAGCTGATAAGGACCTCTCAAAGAGAGAGCTGTCAGAACAGGCTCGATCATATGGGGAGAAGATTGCGGATAAGGAACGAGCGTACCAAGACGCGTGTGCAGATAACGATGAGTTACAAGCACGGTTGCAAACCACTTTAAGGGAGCTGGCAGATTGCAAGGCAGAAAAGGGGTTAATAACCCGGAGTTG